ATTTTTAAAATTTGATCGAGAAGAACAGAGTGAGATAGAGAGAGAGAGGGAAAGCGAGAAAGCAAGCCGCCAGGTCCAAGACTTGAACCATGGTCGGCCATGTGGGAGCCCAGTGCCCTTAATCACCACACCACCTGCTGGCCCAAAGAAACAGATCTTAACTAAATCTAGTGATAGATCTTGATGGGGTCTTGATTTTTTTTTTTTTTTTTCCTTTTTTAGAGAGAGATTTTTGCTATAGAGCATGTGTGCTCACTGGAGAGATAGAAAGTGAGAGATCATCCTCCAGGGGGGATAGCCGCACCACAATCCCTACACCTCCATTCCCTCTCGGGATTTCGGGCGTGCACACGCATGCACCCAATGTGAGTTTTTTAAGTCACTAGGTCTGGGACTCAAACTGTGGTTGGTCGCGAGGGAGCCCAGCAATGTAACCATTACGCCATCTGCTGGTCCCAATGGGGTCTTGATTTTTAAAAAGTTTGTAAAACACTTGGGTTGGGAACAATTAAATAGGTGATCTTAGAAATAATTGCTAATATTTTTAGGCAGGAAATATGACCATAAAAGGAGAATGTTATTATTTTTTGTTTACTACAGGGCACTTGTGTTTGCTGGAGAGAAACAGAGAGAGACCAAGAGAGGGAAAGTGAAAAACCACCCCCCTCCCCAGGAAGATGGCAACACTCCAGTTCCTCTTCCCCATTCTCCTCTCCAGATTTTGGAATTGTACACGCATGCCTGGCATGTTTTTCAAACCACTAAGTACAGGACTCCAACTGTGCAGTTGGCCATGTGGGATTCAGCCACCTTAACCACCATTCCACCAGCTGGTCCAGTAAATTATCATTATTTTTTAAGTCTTTGCTAAAGGGAGCATGTGCTCACCAGAGACAGAGGATGAGAAGGAAAGTGGGAAATCACACCCTATGGGGATGTCCACACCGCAATCCCTTCTCCTCCATTCTCTTAGAATTTTTGGGCATGCACATACACATGCCCAGCGTGATTCTCAAGCTGCGACCTGTGGGTCCAGGACTTAAACTGCACAGCCATGTGAGATCCAGCACCTTAGCCTCTACACCACCTGCTGGTCCAAACTGAAAATTTTTTTAAGAACTGAAATTTGAAATATTTTACCAACTAATATGTTGTCACACACGCCAAACAAATAAACAAACAAACAAAACAAACAAAACCTAATTAGGAAATATTAGCCTAAGGACTATTTGGTAGAATAATTAATCCTGTCATTTTGTTGAGGACTGGCAGTGCTCCTATGATGCAGACTTTCAGTAACACAACCAGGAAAAGTGAACAAGAATGCACTGTCACCCTATTGTTTTTTGTTTTGTTTTGTTTTTAAACATTTTTTTAACCCAGGATGCCTGTGCTTGCTGGAGAGAGAGACACACAGGGACTGAGAGAGGGAAAGTGAGAAATCATCTCTCAGGAAGGATGGCTACTCCATAATACCTTTTCTTCCAGTCTACTCTTGGGATTTAGGATGCACATATACATGTGCTTAGCATGATTTTAATGCTGCGGGGTCTGAGATTTAAACCATGGTCAACCATGTGGAAGTCCAGGGCCTTAACCGCCACACCAAATACTGGCCCCAATCACCCTACTGTTTACCCACACTTGGAAGACATTTATTAATGCTGAGGAAATGGCTATTAGGTCAGATCCTCTGGATCTGACCATTTTCATTGTACCAAACAATTATTTATATACTTATACCTTTTTTTAACAGCTAGACTGTCTGAACTGTACATTAATTATATACTTAGATATAAGATATGTGCTTGGGAAAATGTATAACTAAACTTCCATATCTTACTTCTCAAACTTAAAGAAAAAAATCTTATGGGGATCAGAAGATGGCAGAATGGTTACATTGCTGGACTCCCTTGTAGTCAACTGTGGTTAGTCGTGGACCTGGCAACTTAAAACTCACACCAGGTGCATGTGCTTGTGTGCATGCATGCCCAATATCTTGAGAAGAGAATGAAGGAGAATGAATTGTGGCATGGCCATCCCTCCTGGGGGATGTCTCAATTTTGTCTCTATTTCTCTCTGTCTTTCTGGCAAGTGCCCACCCCCTATAGTAAAAACCTTTCAAAAAAAAAATCTTCATGCTGGGTACGTGCTTGTTGCATACACGTGCATGAACATGCACGCACCTGCATTCCCCAGAGAAGAATGTAGGAAAAGTGATTGCGGTGTGACCATTCCCCCTTCAGAGGGGTGATTTCTCACTTCCTTTCTCACTGTCTCTGTCTATTCCCACCCCATCCCCCCAAGCACATGTGCCCAGAGGTAAAAACCTCTAAAATAAACAAATAAATAATAAAGACCTTAAAAAAAAATTTGTGGGACAGCAAGTGGCATCAAGGTTAAGGGACTGGATCTCACATGGCCAGCTACCGGATGTGTTGCCTTGAAAATCACAATGAGCATGTCTGAGTCAGTGCAAGCCCAAGATTCAAGAGGAGACTAGAGGATAAGGGATTGTTGGGACCAGCAGTTAGCGTAATGGCTATGTTGCTGGACTCCCATGTAGTTGACCATGGTTCGCGTCCCGGACCCGGTGGCTTAAAACTTACACTGGGCGCGTGTGCATGCGTGCCCAAGATCCCAAGAGAAGAATAAAGGAGAAGGGATTGCGGCGTGGCCATCTCCCCTGGGGGGGATGATTTCTCACTTTCTGTCTGTCTGTCTCTCTCTTTCTGGTGATTGCACGTGCCCTATAGCAAAAACCTCTTCAAAAAAAAAAGGATGAGGGATTGTGGTGTAGGCATCCCCCTTTGGGGGTGATTTCTCACTCCATTCTCTTAGAATTTTTGGGCATGCACATACACATGCCCAGCGTGATTCTCAAGCTGCGACCTGTGGGTCCAGGACTTAAACTGCACAGCCATGTGAGATCCAGCACCTTAGCCTCTACACCACCTGCTGGTCCAAACTGAAAATTTTTTTAAGAACTGAAATTTGAAATATTTTACCAACTAATATGTTGTCACACACGCCAAACAAATAAACAAACAAACAAAACAAACAAAACCTAATTAGGAAATATTAGCCTAAGGACTATTTGGTAGAATAATTAATCCTGTCATTTTGTTGAGGACTGGCAGTGCTCCTATGATGCAGACTTTCAGTAACACAACCAGGAAAAGTGAACAAGAATGCACTGTCACCCTATTGTTTTTTGTTTTGTTTTGTTTTTAAACATTTTTTTAACCCAGGATGCCTGTGCTTGCTGGAGAGAGAGACACACAGGGACTGAGAGAGGGAAAGTGAGAAATCATCTCTCAGGAAGGATGGCTACTCCATAATACCTTTTCTTCCAGTCTACTCTTGGGATTTAGGATGCACATATACATGTGCTTAGCATGATTTTAATGCTGCGGGGTCTGAGATTTAAACCATGGTCAACCATGTGGAAGTCCAGGGCCTTAACCGCCACACCAAATACTGGCCCCAATCACCCTACTGTTTACCCACACTTGGAAGACATTTATTAATGCTGAGGAAATGGCTATTAGGTCAGATCCTCTGGATCTGACCATTTTCATTGTACCAAACAATTATTTATATACTTATACCTTTTTTTAACAGCTAGACTGTCTGAACTGTACATTAATTATATACTTAGATATAAGATATGTGCTTGGGAAAATGTATAACTAAACTTCCATATCTTACTTCTCAAACTTAAAGAAAAAAATCTTATGGGGATCAGAAGATGGCAGAATGGTTACATTGCTGGACTCCCTTGTAGTCAACTGTGGTTAGTCGTGGACCTGGCAACTTAAAACTCACACCAGGTGCATGTGCTTGTGTGCATGCATGCCCAATATCTTGAGAAGAGAATGAAGGAGAATGAATTGTGGCATGGCCATCCCTCCTGGGGGATGTCTCAATTTTGTCTCTATTTCTCTCTGTCTTTCTGGCAAGTGCCCACCCCCTATAGTAAAAACCTTTCAAAAAAAAAATCTTCATGCTGGGTACGTGCTTGTTGCATACACGTGCATGAACATGCACGCACCTGCATTCCCCAGAGAAGAATGTAGGAAAAGTGATTGCGGTGTGACCATTCCCCCTTCAGAGGGGTGATTTCTCACTTCCTTTCTCACTGTCTCTGTCTATTCCCACCCCATCCCCCCAAGCACATGTGCCCAGAGGTAAAAACCTCTAAAATAAACAAATAAATAATAAAGACCTTAAAAAAAAATTTGTGGGACAGCAAGTGGCATCAAGGTTAAGGGACTGGATCTCACATGGCCAGCTACCGGATGTGTTGCCTTGAAAATCACAATGAGCATGTCTGAGTCAGTGCAAGCCCAAGATTCAAGAGGAGACTAGAGGATAAGGGATTGTTGGGACCAGCAGTTAGCGTAATGGCTATGTTGCTGGACTCCCATGTAGTTGACCATGGTTCGCGTCCCGGACCCGGTGGCTTAAAACTTACACTGGGCGCGTGTGCATGCGTGCCCAAGATCCCAAGAGAAGAATAAAGGAGAAGGGATTGCGGCGTGGCCATCTCCCCTGGGGGGGATGATTTCTCACTTTCTGTCTGTCTGTCTCTCTCTTTCTGGTGATTGCACGTGCCCTATAGCAAAAACCTCTTCAAAAAAAAAAGGATGAGGGATTGTGGTGTAGGCATCCCCCTTTGGGGGTGATTTCTCACTCCCCCTCCCCCCGTCTCTGTCTCTGACAAGCGCACATGCTCTATAGTAAAGCATAAAAAACAAAAAATAAAAAAAATCTTGTCACAACTTATCGGTATTATATCACATAAAGTTAAATTATTAAAATCTTATCGGAAGCCTATATTTTATCTTAGGTAGTATTATATGCTTCATAGAACAGTTATTTCATTAACATTTATTTTCAAATAACAATTTATTTCATATGTAGTTATTTAAACCCTTAGGAATGATTTAAAAAACAAAAAGTAGAAGCAAAGCATATTGTAATGATACAGATCGTGATTTATTCATTAGAGGACTTTAATGAGGTTCTTCTGCAACTCGATAGTGACAAAGTTTAGGTTTGTTAGGATTATTTTTCAGCAGCCAATCTGCTAGCCAAATCTATGGGGAAAAAAAACAACTTTAAGTTAATAAATTTAAATATTTTATTTCAATATAAACAACATAAATTGGAAGGCTTTCAAAAATCACTTCAAAAATGAGAAAATGCAGGACCAGTAGTTGGCATAATGGCTGTGTCACTGGACTCCCATGTAGTCGCCCGCAGTTCAAGTAATGGAACTGGTGGCTTAAACTCATGCTGGGCACATGTGTGTGCGTGCCCAAGATCCTGAGAGGAGAATGGAGGAGAAGGGATTGTGGTGTGGCCATCACCCTTCTGGGGGGGAGGGTGATTTCTTGCTTTCTGTCTCTCTGTCTCTCTCTGTCTTTCTGGTGAGCGCACGTGCCCTGTAGCAAAAACCTCTCCCCCAAAAAAGAGAAAATGACCATTAAAAATGGGAACATTATGATTTACATGATGCAAGATTGTCAAGTATAGATTAAAATCAGAAAGGAAGAAGTAAAATTATCTCTGTCCACAGATGGCAGATCCTATATACAAAAAATTCCAGGCCCAACCTTGGTGGCACAGTTCACAGCATATTGGATTGTAGTGCTAGAAGCTACGTGGCTGACTGGGCTTGGCCTGAAAGCAGGGCACACACACATAGTGGCTACCCAAGATGAGGAGCCGGAGGAATTTGGAAAGGAGATCACAGTGTGTCAACACCCTGCTGAGGGTTCATACTGTCTCTCTTTTTCTCTCCTGCATATGCATGCCTGCCTCTGCTCTCTATGGTGAAAAAAAAAAAATCCCAAAAATTTCACAAGAAAGTTACTAGAGCTAAAAATACATTTTTAAAAAGAGATTTTTGCTATAGGGCACATGCACTCACTGGAGAGACAGAGAGAGTAGAGAGACAGAAATTGAGAAATCACCCCCCAGAAAGATGGCCATGCTGCAATTCCTTCTCCACCATTCTCCTCTCAAGGTTTTGGGCACGCACACATGCTTCAAGCCGCCAGGTCCAGGACTCAAGTCACAGTGGACATGGAAGTCCAGATGATATAACCATTACACCAAGCTAAAAAAAAATTTTAGCAAGATCACAGGTTATAAGGTTAGCACACAGAAACTGGTTATGTTTCTATACATCAGCAATGGCAGCCTAAAAAAGAAATTAAGAAATAACTTCCAGCTGGGATCAGCAGATGGCATAATGGCCACCCACATCACTGGACTCCCACAAAGTCGACCTCAGTTCCAGTTCTGAACTGGCGACTTGAAACTCACGCCATCACTTGTGTGTGCATGCCCAAGATCTTGAGAGTAGAATGGAGAAGGAATTGTGTTGAGGCCATATCCACTGCCAGGGAGGGGTGTGATTTCTCGCTTTCTGTCTCTCTGTCTCTCTGTCTCTCTAGCGAGTGCTCATGCCCAATAGCAAAAATCTCTCTTAAAAAAAAAAAGATGGAGGCCTGCAAGTGGCATGATGGTTGAGGTGTTGTACTCCCACACAGTCGACCATGGTTCAAGTCCTACACCTGGTGGCTTGCTTTCTCACTTTCTCTTTCTCTCTCTTTCTCTCTTTGGTCAAATTAAAAAATAATAATAATAACAAATAAATGAAAAAATATATATACCAAAAGAAAAGAAAGAAAAAAGAACTTCCATTTACAATAGCATAAAAACAAACAAACAGACAAAACCCAGCAATTAGAAATAAGTTTAACCAAGGAGGAGGTTGGCCAGTGGCATGGTGAAGGTGGCAGGATCCCAGATGGCCAACTGCATGGTTCAAGACTCAGACCTGGCAGCCTGATAAATATGCCAGGCACATGCATGTACATGCCCACAATCCCAAAAGATGAGAGAAATGAAGGAGAAGCAATTGAGGTGTGACCATCCTCTGTGGGGAATGCTTTCTCACTTTCCCTCTCTCTCTCTGTTTCTCTCTGGTGAAAACTTTAAAAAGTTTAACCAAAGAGTTGAAAGACATATACACTCAAGACTATAAAATGTTGAAAAAAGAAAAATTACAGAGCTGAGCGACCCATTTCAGGGGCTAGGACAACTGAAGATTTTCTGCCCAGACTTCACCCTCCTGCTCCCCTTTTTTACGTTTCTCACGCTTCTGATCAGCCTCCACACACTGAGTTTTTAGACAGGTCTAGAGTCTATTCAGTACCTGAATACTTTTAGGGTCAGAGTAATCCTCATATTCCATGGAATCTGCTGCACAAAGGAAGAAAAATGGTACTACTTAGATATTGCAGATCACCTCCACCTGCTTGCCTCTGAACACTCAGATTTAACTCCAAAAATTAGGAAAAAATGTATAATCCATATGATGACCAGAAACCATCACAGACACAAGAATATGAGAAGTCAAGAAAATATCTCTCTCCCAAGGGAAAAGAATAATTCTTCACCCTCCATAGACAATACAAGGGAACTTGTAAAGATAAAGAATTTAGAATATTCATAGTGACAAAACTAACAGAGATGCCAGAGAAGAGAGACAACGAGCTCCAGAAGATGTAGGAGAAAAGAGACAATGAGTTCCAGGAGGTGAGGAAGTTCTTACACGATCTGAAAGAGGAAATATACACCATAAAACAGAATCAAATGGATTTGTTAGAGATGAAGGTTGTAATACAGGAAATCAAAACCTCCTTTGAAAGTATTAAAAGCAGAATAGATCATGCAAAAGATTGAAACTCAGATGTAGAAGATAGAACTTCTGACCTGGAAAAAATCACCAAAAAGACTGAGAAAATAACCCAAAACTTGAGAATAATACACGAGTAATACTACATACCATTAAATGCCCAAACATCCAGATAATTGATATCCCAGAAGGTGATGAAAATAATAAGCGCATTGATAATCCATTCCATTAAATACTGGAAGAAAACTTTCCAAACCTAGAAAGGCATTCAAGGATCCAAACCCAAGAAATACTAAGGACTCCATGTAGAATAACCCAAGAAGATATTCTCCAAGGCACAGTCATAACCAGATTGACCAAAATCACAGACAAAGACAAGATTCCAAAATTGTCAAGAGAAGGGTTAGCAGGTAGCATGGTGGTTAAAAGTGCTGGATTCCCACATGAGTGACCATGGTTCAAATCTTAGACCTGGTAGTTTGCTTTTTCAATTTCTCTCTCTCTCTCTCTCTCTCTCTCTCTCTCTTTCTTTCTTTCTCTCTGGTCAAAATTGAAAAAAAAGTAGAATTAAATAAATAAATATAAAAATAAATCGGCAAGAAAGAAACATCAAGTTACTTTCAAAGGATGTCCCATAAGGCTAACCTTGGACCTCTCATTGGAAACAATGTGAGCAAGGAAAGAATGGGAAATAAATTCAAAGTGTTAAGTGAAAAACAATTTCAAACAAGAATACTATACTTGGCAAGATTATTCTTTGTATGAGAAGAAAAGACAAAATCATTCTCAGATAAATAAAACCTGAAAGAATTTACTAATACCAGACCAGTTTTCCAAGAAGTACTGAAGGGAGTGCTATACCAGGAAAACTAAAGTCAGATACACAGAAATAAGAATACAAAAAGCAACCAAGAGAATGGCCAACTTCATGGTAGATACGAGTCCAGAAAAATCAACCATTTTGAATGTTAACTTCCAGAATTTAAATGGAAAGATCAGACCACAGTTACACTGAAAATTCCAAGAAGAGAGATTAATTACAGGAGACTAATCTTATGAAATAGATTTTTATGACTTTCGACTAAAACATTACTGATTTTTTCTATGCTTTGTTGTCTAGATTTGAAGATTTTTTGTCTTCTCTTGAACTGTTGATATATTCATCTACCAACTGTTTGAAATGAATTCTAACCTTTTTCCTGACTTTAAGTCTTAAGCAAATTTCTCTTAACATTTTTTGATTTTGATCTATTAAAACTAAAACTGTTTTTATTGAAATTTTAAAATATATTTAAAATACCTATTTAATAACTACAGAAAGTTATATAGCTCCAGCTAGGTGCTACTTTATAGTATGTTCATTCTACTCACTGAGGTTTATGCCTAAAGTTAGACATGTATTCAAAGATATGTATATATCGGGACCAGTAGCTGGCATAATGGCTATGTTGCTGGACTCCCATGCAGTTGACCGCGGTTTGAGTCTCGGACCTGGTGGCTTAAACTCACGCCAGGCATGTGTGCATGCATGCCCAAGATCCCAAGAGAACAATGGAGGAGAAGGGATTGTGGCGTGGCCATCCCCCCATGGGGGAGTGATTTCTCGCTTTCTGTCTCTCTGTCTCTGTCCTTCTGGCAAGCACACGCCCCCTATAGCAAGAACCTCTCCCAAAAGAAAAGAAAAAAAAAGATATGTATATATCAACTGCACTTGCTATTGAAAGTATTTAGATTAAGTGAGATCTTTAGTAAATCAATAAAATGTGAAAAAAAAAAGGGACCAGCAGGTGGTGGTGTGGTTAAGGGCGCTGAACTCCCACATGGCCAACCTCAATTCAAATCCCAGACCTTGTGGCTTGCTTTCTCACTTTCCTTCTCTCTCTTTCTCTCTCATGCTGTCCCTCTCTGGTCAAATAGAAATAAATAAATGAATAAATGAATAAATAAAGTTTAATAAAATAATTTCTTTAAAAAATGTGAAAATAAAAGGCATGGAAAGCAACTGTAGATACTAGAGACAGTATGGGAAGAGGGTGGGAAATAGCAGAGGGTGAGAAATGGAATCAAGGGGAGGAAGAGAGGCAAAATATATAAGAAACAAGAAATGGAAAATTATTTGTTGACAATAATGCATATGGTAATATCCTTGACTGACCCAATATAGAGTGTATTCTGGATGGAAAAATCTCATTTTGTATACTGTAATAATGTACAGTGGATGAAAGCAAATAAATAAATTTAAAATTAAAAAAAGAAATGATAGAATTCTTAAATAAATGGAAAGACATCCTGTGTTTATAGATAGAAGACTTAATACACTTACGATACCAATACTACCCAAAGCAATCTACAGATTCAAGAGAGTTGTTAACAAATTTCTAACAGCTA